CTGTGCCACACTTCACCGCACTGTGCCGCACATGATCGCAGACGCATCATGGAGCCAATGCTGTCAGGGTCCATCCCCGAGTCAATTGGAGCGCTCACCAACCTGCAAGATCTGTAAGGAAGAGGGTTACCTGCATTGCAAGCCGTGAGACTGGTACTTGGCACTTGCTCTGGTGCTTTCCCAAAAGCCTCTTGTGCCTTTGCAATGGCTCTTGTATGTGCCCTTTCTAGCTTCCCTTGAGCCGTGAGGAGGAGTGCGCTGGTACTTGTCCTCTCCAGCCCTTTTCCAATGTCTCTTATTCTTTTAGAAACGATTCTAAATGCAATGACATGGCATACAATCTTCTCTTTTTGGTGGGGCAATGCATTTTCAAAATTTCAACAAGTTTATAAGTGCAAAAGATGTTAACTCATAGAATCTCCCTATCTCAGTTTGCTTGCATCAAACCCAACCCAACACAATTCCTCGCCTCAAGTGTCTTCCTTTGCCTCAAACATGTTCCACTTCACACTTGTGCTTTCTATAGTTTCTTCCTTTCTTGTGTTTGTGCAACGTTTTGTTTCTTGTTTGCTTATATATATACGTATATATTTATACATTTAGTATATATATATATATATTATCTGGCTTGTGGGACCCTCCAGTGCCGTGGTCACTTCTCTTGACTCTAGTACTACCCAGTGCTCTAAGAACCCTGGACCAGCAGCACTGGCATGCGCTCTCACACTTATTATGGGTGCTTTGTTCCCATCCCATGCCATCCCATGCCATCCCATGCCATCCCATGCCATCCCATGCCATCCCATGCCATCCCATGCCATCCCATGCCATCCCATGCCATCCCATGCCATCCCATGCCATCCCATGCCATGCCATGCCATGCCATGCCATGCCATGACATCACGCAACAGAGACATGGAAGGCTGCGGCAGCCTGGATGGCACCATTCCCGCCTCCATTGGCAACCTCACCGCACTCACCTCCCTGTGCGCCCATTTTCTCACCGCACTCACCTTTCTGTGCGCCCATTTTCTCACCGCACTCACCTTCCTGTGCGCCCATTTTCTCTCCGCACGAACCTTCCCTTCTCTCTAACATCTGCATAATCTGCCAATGAAAAGTAACCCTGCACTGCAGTCTGCACCCATGCTTGGGGCATCCTCTCTGCTGCAGCCTTCCACCGTCCAACCGCTCCCTGCGTCTTAGTCATGATGATCCTCTCTGTCTTTAACCCACGCGCCCTCCTCTTCCCCTTTCTATGCTTCCCTTCACGATGGAGCCTGGCGCCTGATCTAACGTAGAAGCAAAAGAAAATGTAAGAAAAGAAAGAAGTTCCTATGGCGCACTGGACACAGAGCAGCAAGCTTGAGAGAAAAAAAGAGATGCTCAGTGTTAACAAAAAGCAGCTGTGAGTTGTTAGGATTAGTAGAATGAAATATATGATTACATATGAATGTATGATTGTATATATAGTTTGAGAATATTAGTGTGAGTTTTGCTACAAGGGCTTTAGGGTTTGAGAGAGGACCTGGTTTGATTTGCCATAGGTGAGAGGGGACGTTACTTTAGGCTGGGGTGGAAGGGGAGCTGGTTGGATGGGTTGCTGCGTGAGGTAAGAAGGGGGCGCTCTGTGTCCTGTGAGAGGCGAGGAGGAGTTGGGTGGGGCTTGCGAGTGGCGAGAATAGGAGTTGCGCACGCTATAAGTGGCGAGAGGAGGAGCTGGTTGAGAAGGGCGAGGGTGAGGGTTGGGCTGTGAGAGCGGATGGAATTGGAGGGAGGGGTGGGGAAGAGAGTCTGAGGTTGGGTTGTCGGTTGGTCAATTTGATGGGAAGGTTATTCAATCAGACTTGACTAATCGAGAATTCTGAAAAGCCATGGTTGGAGATCGATCGCAGACTAATTAGACTAAATACCCTGAAATATTTAACCCTACTCTCCACCTTTTCCTTTTCGTTCCGCCCTCTTCCCAACCTCTCCATGCACCAGGAGTCTTCGTGAATGCTTTCTCTCAGGCTCCATTCCAGACTCAATCAGCAGCCTCAGGGAGCTACAAAACTTGTGAGTGGTGATGGGGTAGGCATGCAAGGTGCTGTAGAGTGGAGTGGAGTGGAGTGGAGTGGAGTGGAGTGGAGTGGAGTGGAGTGGAGTGGAGTGGAGTGGAGTGTTTCAATGTGATAGATAGCACGCTAGAGAGAGGCTGGGTGGAACCATCTGGAAAGGAGCATGAGATAGATAGAGTAGAGTAGAGTAGAGTAGAGTAGGTTTACCGGGTTTGAGTTTGAAGTGAAGTAGGCTGTGGAGCTCGAGGCTGTGGAGCTCGAGGCTGTGGAGCTCGAAGGAGCTCACGAAGGAGCTTGAGATAGAGATGGCTTACCAACTCTTGGGTCTCCAGGCTCATCTAGGTAGATCGCAAATGAGTTGGGAAGGATGGGACGGGATTGGAACTCGATGACACTATGCAATAAGGCTGGTTGAAACCTCTGATTGGTGGGTTGAGTTGAGTGCGGAAACAAGGGACCCAGGGGGCAAATGAGTGGATTATTGAGTGAGGGAGCACGTGGAATAAACTTTGTCGGAGACTCAAAGGCTAGTTTGATTCAAGAATCCAACACTGGCAGTCTCTTGATCGTTGATCCATCTCTTGTTTCCATCCAGTACGTTGAATGCACCACACCCACCACATCTACTGTAAGCAGCTGAACCTACTGTACCTTGTGCCATGCCATCCCATCCCATGCCATCCCATGCCATCCCATGCCATCCCATGCCATCCCACCCACCCCATGCCATGGCAGGGACCTCCAAAACACCATGCTGAATGGCACCATTCCCGCCAGCATTGGCCACCTCACCGCACTTTACACCCTGTGCGTGCGCCCATCTTCCCTTCGCCTTCCTCCTAAGTTTCCCCTCTCTGCGTTGCCATGCCATGGCACCAGGAATCTATCGTAAGAGCACACCAAAACCGTCCATTCCATTCTAAGAAATTACCCCCCCACACTCATCATGCTACAGAAACCTGAAATACAACAGTCTCTCAGGCTCCATTCCAGAGGCAATCAGCAGCCTCAAGCAGCTGGGGGAGTTGTGAGTGGTGACGGGGTAGGCATGCAAGGTGCTGTGGGGTGATCAGGCGTGGTGGCCTTTAGTGAGTGAGCGGGAAGGAGAGTGAAAGGCCGAGGAGAAAGACAGTGGGTGAGAGTGTGAGTGAGTGCGTGGGTGAGGGGGTGAGAGGGTGAGGTGAGCTATGAGTTATTGCCCTAGCCGTCCGTCTTATCCCATCCCATGCCATCCCATCCCATCCCATCCCATCCCATGCCATCCCATGCCATCCCATGCCATCCCATGCCATGCCATGCCATCTCATACCACGCCATGCCATCCCATATGCCATGCCATGCCATGCCATGCCATGCCATCCCATGCCATGCCATGCCATGCCATGCCATGCCATCCCATGCCATGCCATGCCATGCCATGCCATGCCATGCCATCCCATGCCATGCCATGCCATGCCATCCCATGCCATGCCATGCCATGCCATGCCATGCCATGCCATGCCATGGCAGGGAGCTGAAGGACAACAGGCTGAGTGGCACCATTCCCGCCTTCATTACCCACCTCACCGCACTCAACACCCTGTGCGCCTATTCTCCCTCCACTCTCCTCCTCTCCATGCCTTTTTTTCCATCTGCCTCTCTCTGCCAAGCATGGGGAATTTGAGAGGGTGGGTGGGATGAGAATCGGGATTGGGGGAATGGTGGGAGAAGGCAATGAATAGGAGAGTACTCACCTTTCATTAACAGCACTCACACGCTTCCACAGTAGCATGTCTGCTTTCTCCTTTCCTCCTTTCTTCTGCTCTTCAACTTTTCTCCTTCTCTCTTCTCCTCTTCTCTTCTTCTCCTCCTCTCCTCCTCTCTTTTCTGCTCTCCTCCTCTCTCTTCTTTTCCTCTCCACCTCTCTCTTCTAATCTTCTGCCGCTTCTCCACTTCCCCCCGTACACTACTCTTCTCTCCGTCCCTCCACGACCCATCATTCACCCGTATTCAGAAGTCTTGGAGACAACCGCCTCGTAGGGACGATAACTGATGCAATTACTACGCTCACCAATCTTGCATACCTGTCAGTCAGTGTTACCTCTTAAGTTGTCACCGCTCTCAAAACGTCATCCCTGAGTGTTGATGTATACAACTACGTCGTTTTAAACATGTCAGGGTTACCTGCTGGGTCGACTTAAAAGACATGCTTTGCCAGGTCGCCTCTTGTAAAGGGCTTTCAAAAGCAACCATCTGCATTCAAATATCACCCTGTGCACTCATCTCCAACCACTGTCAGTGTTACCCATCTCTTCTCCTCAATGAAACGCCACCCACACATCTCCCTGCCATCCCATGCCATCCCATGCCATCCCATCCCATCCCATCCCATCCCATCCCATCCCATCCCATCCCATCCCATCCCATCCCATCCCATCCCATCCCATCCCATCCCATCCCATCCCATCCCATCCCATCCCATCCCATGGCAGGGACTTCCAGAGCAACAACCTGAGTGGCATCATTCCCGCCTCCATTGCCCACCTCCAAAAACTCTACTTCCTGTGCGCCTGTTCTCCCTCCAATCCTTCTTTCCACCTCGCTCTTTCTGCCAAGCAATGGGGATTTGAGAGGGTGGGTAAGATGAGATGAGAGGAGGCACGTTGTGCGGATGGCTAACCTTCCTGCTGGTATGGATGTGTTATTTTCGTAGCTAACTCCTTTCAGCTTCAGCATTCACACTCTTCCATGGCGTCATCTCTGCCTTCTTCTCCTCTCCTCGTCGCTTCTCCTTCTACCTTCTTCTTCACTCTCTACTCTCCCTCTCCTCCTCTTTCTTATATACTCTCCACCTCTCTCTTCTTCTCCTTCCCTCCTCTGCCTCTTCTCCTCTTCCCCTCTTCCCGTCTTCCGCTCTGTTTCTTTCCTTCCCTCCATGTCCCATCATCCACCCCTCTCCAGTGGACTTGGCAACAATCGCCTTACAGGGACGATGCCTGCTGCGATCACCACGCTCACTAAACTCGATTACCTGTCAGTGAACGGTGGTGTTCCCTCCTCGTTTGTCACTACACACATGTCATCTCTGAGTGGTGGTGTGTACACCCCATGTACTCATCTCCAAACAAGAATCAGTCCCACCCATAACTCTTTTGTGGCTCTTCTTTTCTGTGTAACAGCCTCCCTACTGCCCGCATCACCTCGATTTCTGCTACCCAGCCTCTCCTTTCTGGGGGCTGCGCCTTCAGGGTGCCAACCTCGTCAGCCTTTTTCAATGAATGCCCTCCACGCGCTTCCTCCCATGCTCGCTCCACCGTGACAACACTTACTCTCCACTTGCTTTCTCTGTAGATCCACCTTACTCATTCATTGATGATTTGGAATCACTTTCTGCTAAGCGCCCTTTCTATCCCAATTCCATTCTGAGTGATAATAGAGGAATCAAATCTCAAGCACGTCAGCTGATTGCACACAGAAAGTGGAATCGACGGCTCAAAAGTCCCTCTCGCACAGCGTGGACAGAAACAACCATCCCATTCATTACGCCCATGCTACTCCTTTCCCATCACTCCATCTTTCCCTTCACTCCCTCTTTCCCGTGGCTCCCATTCCTCGCCACTCCTCCTCCTTCCCACTCTTCCAATTTTGCCTTTGTTTGGCATCACAGCAGCTTAGAGGGCAACCAGTTGACGGGAAAGGTGCCCTCGTTCGACCATACGGACCCATTCAATTCGTTTAGTGGGGACCCTTTCAACGACAGCAGCAACAACGACAACGACAATGACCTCACCGCCTCGGAAAGCCCTCTCCCTTTCAACGCTACCAGCCTTGTCAAAACTCTACAGCTGGACAGCTTGTGTATGTGCCTTTTCGACCTTCAGCTCGTTCGAGCTACCTAAGAACTTGCATTTCATGTCCTCCAAAGTCGCCTGCTTGCCAATATGTCGGCTTTCTCTGCATCAATACCCAGCAATCTTTCTCCAATGTGCTACTTCTGTACATACCCACGCTTCCTCCCTCTTCTTATCCACCCCCCAGGCACCAAACCACCATGTGAACCACCAGGCCCTGCAGCCGTGGGAGTGGCACTGTCTGCTCTTCAAGCACCTAACCTGCTGCTGCTGCTGATGCTTCCACTGGCAGTGCTGCTGCTGCTGGCCTTCACACTGCCGCAGTTTCTGAGGCGCCTTAAGAATCGACCCCCCACACGCTACTTCTTTTCAAAGAGAGCCCTTGCTGCCCGGCAAGCTGCCATGGGTGTGGAGATTACTTGCTAGTGCCCCACTTGTTACGCGGGAATGATATTGGTAACAGGTTGTGCACATTCATTAATGGTAATGGCATAAATTGATACGGTAGCGTTGTATACTGGATGCCATGCTCTAGTGCGCTTGTTTGCGAGCGTAACATAGCAAGCTCGTTTTGAGTATAACATAACAGAAAGCGTGGCTTCCTCCATGTTGGGCTGAGATAGCCCCTTAGGATCTTTCAAGGGAGAACTCTGGATGGATAGTGTTGTAATAGCGGAAGCGTTTAACAAAAGTTTGTGAACCACCTTGCGCTGGTATGTGAGGGCAAAGTAGATTGATTATAGCAAGGAAGTACAAGATTATATAATAATACAAGGAATATGAAAGGATGCAGTTTGTAACTACTTTACTGTTGCTGTTGCGGTTCGATACAGTACGACTCGGGCAACTGCTCTGTAACGAGTCAGTTGTGTGTCCTTAACTGTCGCGCTGTATTTGTCAGGTCAAAGGTCGCTTGACCTTTGACTTTCGCGTAACCTCCAGCAACCTCTTTTAACCTCCGAGGGTTGACTCGCGGGTGCTTCGACATGGCGTGCTTCGCTTCTGGTGTGGTGTTTCGACACGACAGAGGCGTTTACAATTTATTGTTTCCAACACTCCCCTTCGCTTCTAGAGTGTCGCTCTTGATGACGTGGCTTTGTCCAGTCAGCAACACGCAGTACTCGAATTTCTGCTTTCCGAGTTTCTTGGTCAAATAATCGGCTGCCATCTCGGACGTGGGACAGTATGACAGCTGAAGTCTCCCCTTCTCGATCTCGTCCTTCACGAAGAAGTAACGCAGGGCGATATGTTTCGTCCTGTTCGCGAAGCCGTTCTTGTTGGCGATGCGAATCGCTGACTGGTTGTCGCAGAACAGGGTGAAGTTGGGTAACTCAGCTAACTTTGCTTCTTCCAGCAGCTCGCGAAGATAAAGGCCTTCCTTGGTGGCTGAGCAGAGTGCGATATATTCTGCCTCAGCTGATGATAACGCGATTAACTCCTGCTTGCTCGACTGCCAGGAGATAGGTCCGATAGGTTCGAGGCGGTAGACGTAGCCGGTACGTGAGCGCCTGTTGTCGGAGTCGCCGGCGTGATCGGCGTCGACATAGCCGATTAGCTTAGTTGGTGTAGCTGCGTTCTTGTGGTAGGTTAGGCCGATCGTCGCGGTGCTGATGAAGTAGTGAAGTTCCGCCAGATGTTCTGCTTCAGGCCTCTTGAGGTAGGTGGCGAGTTGACTTGCGGAGTATGAGAGGTCGGGACGGCAAGTGACGGCTGCGAAGAGGAGGCATCCGAGCTTCCTCTGATAGTCGCGTATGCCGGCTGGTTTGAGTAGAGTGGATCGTCCCTTCTCGGTTCCTGTCGTGTAGCGGTATGGCGTGGAGATGGCGGCTGGTGTGAGAGCGAAGCGTTTGGCGATGGTGTCGGCATATTTCGCGGCGTTGAGGTAGATCTGTCAAACATATATGCTGCATATTGTCTAGGCTGTAGTGGGGTAGCCCATATGGGGTACAGCCCAATTAGGGTTTACTACTTGTACTCCTGCATGCTGCTAGTTCATTCATTCCTGCTGCTAGATTCTGACATGGTTTCAGAGCACTAAGGTCCGTAGGACCGTTTTTTTTCGGGCCCACCTACCGCTGCGGTTACCGCGCTACCCCACGTACCTGCCTGCCTTGCCTTGCCTTGTGACGTGCTGCACTATGTGCGCCGTCCAGCAGCCCTAGCGCTGCCTCCTACTGCCCTAGGCCAGCGCGCTGCCCCTAGAGGCCCGTACGGCTCACGCGCCGCCCCTAGAGGCCCGTAAGGCCCGCGCAGCCTGCTGCAGCCGCGCGCAGCCCGCACAGAGCCCGCGCGCGGCCCGCAACAGCCCGCGCCGAGCCGCGCGCGGCCGCGCGCGGCCTGCAGCAGCTCCGCGCGCTGTCCGCGCAGCCCGCGCCGAGCCGCGCGCGGCCCTCTGCCTCGGCCACGACCTGCCGCTGATGCGGCCCCGCCCTGCAGCTACCACGGCCCCGACCTGCCGCTGACGCGGCCCCACCCTGCTACTGCTGCTGAGGCGGCCCCGCCCTGCAGCTGCTTCGGCCCTGCTCTGCAGCCGGTTTTGCGGCCCCGACGCCGCCGCTGTCGTGCGCCTACTCGGCCGCCGCCCGTCGAGCGCCGGCCCTGCTCGCCTGGTGAGCACCTGCCTGCCTGCCTGACGGCCTGCCTGTCTGCCTGCCTGCCTGCCGGCCTGGCTGCCTGCCTGCCTGCCGGCCTGCCTGCCTGCGCGACTGCCTGCCTGCCTGCCGGCCTGCCTGTCTGTCTGCTTGCCTGCCTGCCTGCCTGCCTGTCTGCCTGCCTGCCTGCCTGCCTGGCTGCCTGCCTGCCTGCCGGCCTGCCTGCCTGCCTGCCTGCCTGCTTGCCTGCCTGCCTGCCGCGCCTGCCTTGCCCGCGCTACTGCTACTGGCAGTTGGCCAGATGCAGCTCCAGCGACGTTCACGCGAGCCTCTGACGCCCCAGCAGCTTAGTGAGTGGTATACTAGCTGGGGTTGTCGCAGTAGCCGTCGTAGCTGTCGCCCTGGAGCTGGTCAGTTGGGAGCGTCTGGCAGTGGCCCGCTACAGCTGCAGGGGCGTCCACGTGAGACACTTACGCCCCGGCAGCTCCAGGAGTGGTACGCTCAGTGTAGCAGGTCTACGCGTACAGTTCGCTGCCCGTACGTCATTCGCACAGGTGCTAGGACTGGTCAGCCTTGTGGGACGCTTGGTCACACACAGTCCCGCTGCTTCGCTCGTCTGAGCGACGACTGGCGCACAGTGTTTGGCGACGAGGCTGAGCTCCCCACCTGGCTGGAGCTGCATGGACAGAGGGTAGATATCTTTGCGCGTGACTATGATGCTATTCTCACTGCCATGTATGCATTGCCTACTAGTGCTGATCGTGCCTGTTCTCTGTGCGTACCGCCTGACCCTGGTGAGGCTGCTGCTCTAGGTGCCAGTGCGTAATCTGCTCTAGGTGCTGGTGAGGCTGCTGCTCTCGGTGCTAGTACGTCTACTGCTCTAGGTACTGGTGAGGCCGTGGCTTCAGGTGCTGGTGAGTCTGCTCTCTCTGGTACTGCGCCAACTACGGTCTCGCACACCTTCACCCTTGACTCAGGAGCTTCTCGCTCCTTCTTTCGCGACTGCACCACACTCACGCCGCTTAGTCGGCCAGTTCCAGTCTCCCTGGCGGACCCCTCCGGGGGTCCAGTCCTTGCCCACTACTCCACGGTTCTGCCGTGTCCGGCCGTCCCGTCCGGCTCGCTGTCAGGTCTTTACCTCCCCTCGTTCTCTACGAACTTGGTGAGTGGAGCTGACCTCCAGGATCGGGAGGTTGACCAGTTCACTCCTGCGAGTCAGCGAGTGACTCACTGTACGTGTGCTAGGACGGGCCGGCACTTGGCCACGTTCACCCGTGCACCTGGCTCGAGTCTGTACACACTGACCACTGAGTCCCCTCAGGTAGCTGCGTCTGCGTCTACGTCTGGTCAGCTGGCGGCCCCCTGCGAGTGTCGCGCTTTGTCGCACGACACTCTCCTGTGGCACCACCGTCTTGGTCACCCCTCCTTGCCTCGCCTGCGTCGCATGCACTCTCGCTCCCTGGTCTCTGGTCTTCCCAGGTCTCTGCCTGCCCTCCCTCCCTCGCCTGCGCCGCCCTGCATTCCTTGCATCGAGGGGCGGCAGCGCGCCGCTCCTCACTCCTCCTCGTTTCCTCCCACAGAGGCTCCCCTGCAGACGCTCCACCTGGACGTGTGGGGCCCAGCCCGCGTCCAGGGACAGGGCCACGAGCGGTACTTCCTGCTGGTCGTCGACGACTACACGCGTTACACCACGGTCTTCCCCTTGCAGAGCAAGGGGGACGTCCCTGATGTTTTGATCCCTTGGATCCGCGCTGTTCGTCTCCAGCTCCGCGAGCGGTTCCGGCGGGATTTTCCTGTCCTGCGTCTGCACTCTGACAGAGGTGGTGAGTTCTCCTCTGACCTCTTGGCAGCCTACTGTGCGGAGCACGGCATCACCCAGTCGTTCACGCTTCCGGCCTCTCCACAGCAGAATGGGGTTGCTGAGCGTCGCATTGGCTTAGTCATGGAGGTCGCTCGTACCTCCATGATCCATGCGGCTGCCCCCCATTTTCTGTGGCCGTTTGCGGTCCGATACGCCGCGCATCAGCTCCCCGTGTCTCCTTGCCGGAGACCTCGCCCACACTGCTGTGGACGGGGAAGGTTGGTGATGCGTCGCGTTTCCGGGTCTGGGGTGCTCGTGCCTTTGTCCGCGATACCACCGCAGACAAGCTCTCCGCCCGCGCTGTTCCCTGTGTCTTCCTTGGCTTTGTCCCTGACGCGCCTGGTTGGCAGTTTTACCATCCCACCTCGCGCCGTGTCTTTGCGTCTCAGGACGTCACGTTCGACGAGTCGGTTCCCTTTTACCGTCTCTTCCCCTACCGCACTGCCCCGCTCCCCCCCCCCGCCGCTCTTCCTCGCTCCAGGTGCTCCCCAGGTAGACCCCCTCCCCACTCCTGGTCCTGCTCCTTCAGGTGTTTCTCAGGTAGACCCTCCTCCC